GGCGGCAGAAAGCCGGATGGACTGAGACTGTTATTGCTCGAGTTGATTGAACGGGAGCATCGTTTAGACGAGTCAAACGATAAGCTCGTCCTGTTAATAACAACGCATTTATACAGTCGACGAGTCGTTGATACCAAAATACGAAAAATGCACTTTCACATCCATTCACATTTATACTGCCTCGTAACATTTATTCTGCCTCGTAAATTCGCAGCCGCCGTCCGCTCGTCGCCGCTAGACAGTTCCTATCCTATCCTATCCTATCTTATCCTATCCTGGCCACATCACCTGCGAACTAAATTATTATCGCTAGAAACAAGAAAATGTCACATAACTCTTAGCATCCATACAACACACAAACACTGGAAACGCCTAGGGGAGCACAAAAATTTGCAAAGCTTGCTTGTTATAGGTGGCGTAGAAACAAATCCTGGACCGAATATCACACACGCTCTAAATGTTTCACATATAAATATCAACAGTATAACAGCGACGCAAAAGTTAGACGAGCTTCACCAATTCATCAACGCTAACGACATTAAAATCATGGCCCTAACAGAAACAAAACTGGATTGTACTGTTGCAAGCAGTTTGTACGCAATTGAAGGATACCACGCTCCAATAACCAAACACAGAACCAGACATGGAGGGGGAGTCGCAGTCTATGTACACTCGTCTTTGCCTGTGCAGAGGTTAATAGATCTAGAAGTAGGAAACCATGAATGGCTTTGGGTCAAAGTAAAGACTAAAGCTTTCACTCTAATCATATGCTGTCTATATTTGCCACCAAACCAACCAGTTGACAAATTAGACAATTTCATTGGAAATTTCTCGGAAGCCGTGCTACAGGCGCAAAGACATACACCCACTGCCACATTAATTTTAGGAGATTTCAACGCAGGAAACGCATACTTAAGTGAACAATTACAAATTCGCAGCAGTGGAGTTACACCATTTGACAATGCGCTAAAAGACGCCGCTGATGGATTATGTTTGCACGAACTAATAACAGAGCCAACGCGTTTTTCAAGAAACTCATGTAATTTAAGAGACTTGATATTCACGAATTGTACAGAAATAATCACTAAGAGCGGTACATTATCTCCATTCGCTAATTTGGATCATTGCCCAATATTCGCATCGTTAAACTTCATGTTGCCCTTACAAAATCAAGCGGACACTAGACTGATATGGGACTACACAAATATGGACACAACTCGTCTTACAAATCTTTTAATGGACACTGACTGGGATCGTTTACTTGACAGTGACGTAGACACAGCGACAACAAATTTTACGAAAACAATATACGACGCAGCTGTTGCCTCAATACCGACTAAAAGCGTGAAAATACAGTCCAACAAAAAATCATGGGTCACTTCTGAGTTGAAGAGGAATATAAGGAAACGGGATAGACTATTCAAGAAAGCCAAGAACACAAATCTGGACTACCACTGGGACAGATGGAGATACCAGCGAAACAAAGTAACGCAGCTTAATAGACGGTTAAAAAATGCATACATGCAGAACGAAGTTAAAAAACTACTGGTGTTGAAGCCCAATCCGTTAAAATACCTATCACCAGACATTGCGTAAGCTAATGGGAAAATCCAGAACTGACATAATTCCACCGCTAGAAACACCAAATGGCGACATTATCACAACGGACCCCGAAAAAGCAGCAATACTTAACAACCACTTTGCCGCCCAATCGACACTCAACATTTCAGACTCGCAGCAGCTTCCAGATATTACACCCGAACAAATAGCCACACCTAATCTCGAAAACATCCGGACAAGTGAAAGGGAGGTATTACAACTGTTGAACAGTCTTAACGTCAACAAATAAACTGGCCCAGATGAAATTCCTGTGAGATTATTGAAAATGACAGCTCTTTTAATTGCAGAACCTTTGTCTCGTTTATTTAACAAATCACTTGCAGAAGGCAAATTTCCATCAACATTCAAAGTTGCCCACATAACACCTATCTACAAGAATAAAGGATCCCCCTCAGATTTTACTTGTTATAGACCAATTAGTATCTTATCAGCTCTTTCAAAGGTATTCGAAAAAATAGTTTACAGAAAAATGTATTCTCACTTTACAGAAAACTCACTCCTCACGGAAAAACAAAGTGGTTATAGAGAAAATCACAGCACTGAACAACAACTTCTTTATCTAACAAACAACATGTATAAATCGTTAGACACAGGAAAACAATTCACAGCTATCTTTTTGGACATTGCAAAGTACTTTGACAAAATTTGGCATAAAGGCTTGTTATTCAAATGCGAACATGATTTTGGAATAACTGGAAAACTTTTAGAATGGTTGGAGTCATATCTCAAAAACCGTATTCAAATGGTACGCATAAACAACACACTGTCAGAACCACAGACCATAAATGCAGGATGCCCGCAGGGCTCCGTCCTCGGACCACTTTTAGCTCTTATCTATCTTGACGGCCTTTCAAAGCAGACACAGCACAATATTTTATTTTTCGCTGACGACACATCACTTTATGCCTCACACTCAGAAACTGACTTACGCGAAACAGAACAATCGCTCCAAAAAGACCTGGACTCTATTTTCGAATACGGAAGAAATTGGGCTATCACTTTCAACGCCGACAAAACAGTGCAACAAACATTCACTCACAGACAACACTCCAAAATGCCACCGACTCTTTCGTTCGGAGGGAAAGCAATACCACTAGCAAAATCACACAAACATCTCGGTTTAATTTTCTCTGACGATCTTCGCTTTCATTGTCATATTAACGAAATATGCAAAAAAGTTAACATATCCCTCAGTCCATTGTATCCTATTGCACAATATTTGCCAAGACCCATCCTTCACCAAATATATACTACCTATGTAAGACCACACTTTGACTATTGTGACACTGTTTACGACGGACATATCACAGTACAGGACACGACACGACTGGAGACATTGCAAAACAGAGCGGCTAGACTGACGACAGGAGCACTCTTTAGAACACCCTCCGACAAATTACGACTCGAGACAGGATGGGACAGACTAACGACAAGAAGACGCATTCACAGATTGTCACTATATCACAAACTCGTTAAATCGAAACCAATTTTACCGAAGTACATACAAGAACTTATAACAAACACAAGGGTGACAGACACACAGTTGGTTTTAAGAAATGCCCATGACCACACGATCCAACGTCCGAAAACATCATCATATCAACGATCATTCTTTATCACCACAAGCAAAGAGTACAACGAACTACCGGCAACATTTAAATCCTTATCCATAGTAGAATTCAAAAAACACATTGTACACCATATTGGCTCCCCCCAGCCACCAAAATACTACTCGTTTGGGTCAAAGACAGGCAACATCCTACATTCGCGACTAAGAAATGGAATGTCCGATTTAAATTCACAACAATTTAACATTCAAAAACAAGATTCTCCGGCATGCCCTTGTGGTCACAGCATAGAAAGCGTTCGTCATTTCATCACAGCATGTCCATTGTTTTTACTTCAAAGACGCATCCTTTACCAAAAAGTATCACAAACACTCCATACTAACTTTCATGAATACCAAACTAATAAAAAATTGGAAATCCTTCTTCATGGCACCAACCTAAATAGTGGCGGCGGCCGGGCGGTGGCTCAACACTTCCAAACGTTCTTACTTAATTCTGGGCGCTTTACAATCCCAACACTCTGACTATTTAATTACGAGGCGGGATGGGCGTGTCTCGGTGGGGTCACCTATCCGTGCTTCTATCCTCAGGATACAGAAATCCTTCTCCTCCACGCCGCAACCCCCCTCCGGGCTGGACAGGCAACTTTATCTCATGCGGGCTGCTCCCTTGGAGCGGCACCGCTGCTCCTGAGGGAGCGCACCCCGTAGCCGGGTGCAGTGAGTGCCTTGGGGCTGGATGGCCTGTCCTCTGGACGGGCTCAGCCCCGGCGACTCACTAGGGTGCCTGCCCAGACCAATGTCTCCCCCTAATTCCTATCATCCTTCCGGCTCTGCAATGGTCTTGTCGACCGAAAGGGCCTAACCCAACAAAACAAACAAAAAACAAACAAATCTCGGTGGGGTGGCGTCGGCAACGGGGCTCTCTGGACAACCTCTAATGCGCGACGCGTTCGGTTTGGTGGCGGCGACCGGCGATTTAGTTTGTTTGAATCCATTTTAAGTTCTTGTATATGTGTGTATGTGTTTATTTGCTTGTATGTTCTTTAACAGAGCTGGTGCCTCGAATTAAGCACTTTCGAGTGCTTTTGCACCAGTTCTTACTTATCTTGATTTTGTGTATTCTTTTGTTTCTTAATAAACGTGATGATGATGGAAATAGTGGAATCTGATGTTAGTAAGTTAACGCTGGTCTTATAAAAGGAACGCCAAGTTAGGAACGCCAACTTACCTAGATGAACTGAAATATACATACCTAATCTATGCATAGCTACAGATACCTTGCTGGCAGCACTGTATAAAAGTGCACGTCATGCTGCATTGCCCAACTTCTAACGTCCACCCACAGAAAATGAAATTCTGAGTTTCAGAGCGTCATTAATGAACTTTGTCAGCGGCACAGTCGTCGTTACGTCATCGTTTGCTCCTGGTGACGTCACAAATACTGGGCAGTGGGCGACGCCTCAAAGTCACTGTGTGACGTCACAACGGTAAGTGGATTACCGTTGCGTGCGGCGCACAGTGCCGGCGGCCCCGGTGTGTGACATGACGGGTGGCCGCGATGGACATGCGACGGGTTGGCCGCCCGAGGGTTATACACACACCGTGGGCCCGGTAGTTGTTGGTGGGCACCCCGGTCCAGAAAGAGCGGAACATGCTGATAGGGCCCGACCCGAGTAGCATGTGTCTGTGTAAAGTGTCTGAGTTCTGTTCAATCTGCGAAATCAGTTCTATGTATCCTGTGTGTGATCGTGAACGGCTTCTGTGCTCTAATTTGCCCGGTCTGCACCCCTGAGCGCCCATTCCCACTGACCTCGTGCCGTTTTTCGTCTGTGCGATGTGCGCGGCGCCGCGGAGCTGGAGCCGCGCGCCGAGCCGCGCGCCGAGCCGGTGGCCGGACTGGTATCCCGAGAGCCGCGGCTGGAGCGTTCGTCGCGCAGGGAGGACGGCATGGCGGCCGGGCCGGCCGGGCCGGGGCCGGCGGACGGCCGCCGCCGCCCCTCCGGAGAGCAGGGCAGGCTGCCGTCGGGGAGCTGACCGGGTCACCTCGCCCTCAGCCGGAGAGCAGAGCAGGCCGCTTGTCTCTGCTCCCAGCAGAACAGGCCGCTTGTCTCTGCTCCCAGCAGAACAGGTCGCCCCTCTCTCTCCGCCGACAGCTGCAACACAGTGTCACAAAGCGTCACTCAGCAGTTAGAATGAGGCTTTCGGAGAAGGACTTGTTGACATTGATATCCGAAGGTTGTATGGGAGCATGGCGCGTGGCGCAAAACATAGTAGGTAGTATGTAGGTGTACCTACCTAACTATTCTGTTGAACTCCTTAGCATGCAATATAAACAGTGCAAATAGGTATACATTGTGCATGTAGACGCTGTTAACTCGCAAATATCAAGCGTTACATAGGCGACGAACGTTGCAAAATGTGGCAGGTCGAGCGGTGCAATATAAATGTCTAGCTTTAGAGACAGTCCACTGTCCAACGGCAGTACCAGCGCTCTCTACTGCCGCTTTCCCAGCGTCACCAGGACAGTTGTGATCGGGTTCGCTGGTCGATATCGCCATCGGCGGCCGGCGCTACATTCTCAGAGCCCAAAAGGTCAGCAGGGATTAGCCGGTGAGAGATACTGTGCGCCGGCCGGCCGCCGAACGGTACCGGGCACCGGCCCGGCCCGGTCAGCAATGGGGCGCTCTCAAACGGCAGCCGCGAGACAGTCAGAAACAGCACAAAGTCGGCACTGGCACAGCTCGTAGCGTGCAGTCATCGCAAATGCAGACTGCAGACGGGCAGACAGCATATTGACCTAAACAGCGACGGGCGACAATAAGGCACTTAATTATGCAAAGGATCTTTCAATAACGACTGCCAGACGTCGAACATTTCCTCCGAACTTTCTTCGCCTTCTTTTTCCGACCCGCGCGTCTGTCCAACTCCAATTTCGTGTCACCGCCCGTCACCGCTCAGCTGAGCCTTACAGGGTCCCCGCGGCACATTATCACCTGCTCATAATTAATAAGTTTGCTGCTCTCGGCTGCTGTAGCTGGTCCGCCGATCGATGGCTGACTTTCCTGCCCGACCCAGCGCTACAATGCATTCCGGCGGGCCGTTCGCGGCCGGATGGGGCCATCATCGACCGACGCTGCACCTCGCCACCTGCGCTGACACCGCTCGTAACGCGGGGACTTCAGCGAACGTCCGTCCCACAGCAGGAGTCGGCGATGTAGGAGGGTGTATGAAGTCGGCGATGAAGTGCAGGCACTTCACAATGTGCGCACCCACCTAGTCAGGTGTATAACTTTATTTATGTAAAGTATCAGCGGCTCGACATCCCGTTCCCGGCCCGCCTCCCAAGTGTCTGGTCGTCCTCGCCGGCAGATCGGTAACATGATACCCGCGGGCCCGGTCCCCGGCCGATAAGGCGCCGCACCTAATTGACTCCAGCTGCTGGCGGCGGTCGCTGCCGACCTGCTCCGGGGTTATGTGCAGTTACTAGTTAATTAGATAAGACGCTCCCCCGCTGCGCTAATTGTTCGTCTGGGAGCGTCCCGGCCGCCCGGTCCCGCCCATTCTGTATCGTAAACGTCCCGGTCCGCCCCTCCCGTATCGTAAACTGCGGCCGCCGCTGAGAGGGGGCGGGTGGCCGTAAACACGGACCGACTACCCCCCCTCCATTCAGAGCCGGCGTACCGAACGGTGGGTCGCCGGGAATGATGGACTCGCACTCCATTCAGAACTAGTGCAACGAGTGACGGGTAACCATAAAAGCTAACCAGCTGGCCACCCCATTCAGGGTACGTACCTATCGCACGGCTGGTCAATACAATGACATGTTTCACCACTAACTGACCTGTGACAGTTGTATTACTGACCTGTGATAGTTGTATTACTGTCTACTGACCTGTGACAAGTCCCACTGACCTGTGACAGGTCAGTTGTGTCACTGACCTGTGACAGGTATATCACTGGCATGTGACAGGTGTGTCACTGACTGACCTTTGACAGTTGTGAAACTGACCTGTGACAGGTGTTGCGTCACTGACTGATTCTTACCTCAGCCACCGCTATCAGCGGGTCATTCTGGATGGCAAGCACTCGGACTGGATCCCAGTGCAATCTGGAGTTCCGGAAGGCAGCATTCTCGGTCCGATTCTCTTCACATGTTATGTAGCTGACCTTCCGTCTCAACTTCAGACCAGCTCACTGTCATATGCTGATGATGTCAAAATTTTCCACAGAATTCAATGTCCAGCGGACGTCAACTCTCTTCAGGCTGATCTAAGCCGTCTTAGTGACTGGTCAAAAACATGGCATCTTAGGCTCAATCCGGCTAAATGCAAGACCATCACCTTTACTCTACGTACGTACATCTCCCATCGCATCATCATACTTTTTAGATGGTCACGAACTCGAGCGGTGTACGGAGATCAGAGATCTGGGTGTGATCCTGGACTCCAGGCTAACATTTGGCGCGCATGTTGACGCCTGTGTGAGCAAGGCCAACCGCATGCTAGGTCTACTTATGCGCAGCATGCAGGTCTCACACCGTACCCGGCTGCCGTACTTCGATCACCGGGCAGTCATGGCGGCGTACAATGCCCATGTCAGATCGGTTGTGGAATACGCGAGTGTCGTCTGGAGTGGCGCAGCACCTACTCACCTTGCGAGATTGGAGAGACTGCAACACCGTTACCTGATGTGGTTAGGCGCCAAGACACATAGCCGGTGCTCGATGGACTATGAGTCTCTCCTCCAACATTTTCACTGTATGTCCATCAAAGCTAGACTTGTTCAGACCGACCTGAAGTTCATACGCTCTGTGTTTGCCGGCCGACTGGACTGTGGGCTACTTGTGACTATGTTTTCGCTGCGTGTTCCTGGCCGGCACTCTAGGCAGACGGGCTTGTTCAACGCAGGGTATATAGAACAACACCTTTTCTTTGAAATGTCCGTGAAGTTAGTTAGCGTCAGCAACAGCAACGAATACAGCGTCGGATTCAGAATCGCTTAAAAAACTCATATCAGGGCGATTGGGGGACGGGGAGCAAGAATATGACCTTTATTTGGCCCTAGCTCTTACCCCTTACCCCTTAATCGGCCCTTAAAGGGACCCTCCCACCTTAACATTAGATTTGAGTTGAGATAGCCAAAATGGGGTCCCTGGCTCACAATTACCGGTTTCGGCACTCACAACATCGAGAAATGCCTTAAATCGGAAATATTGAATTTCAAAATTGCAGCATTTTGATTCAGAGGGGCTATTGTATAGGTATACCCCTCTGAATGTGTGACGCCAGCGCAGATATCTAACGAGCTTTAAATGTTTGACTAAAACGTTTTGTAGCACGCGGTGGTATATGCTGCTTTGCGCGCAATAAGTGCCGCACTTTCAGCCGCCAAACTATTGCTTCCAAATAAAGTCACTAGGAACAGTGGAGATCCCAAAAAGTAAACAAAAGTAAAAGTCTAATATCTTGAAAACCGGTGAATATTTTTTGGTGAAATTTGGTAGATATTCGTTTCCGCTCTTTCTGAACCGAGCGACATCACTTTCATGCCAATTTATAAACTTTTTTGAAGGTGGGAGGGTCCCTTTAAAGGAAGGGGCGCGTCAAAAGTGCCTCAAGGGTTCGTCTGATCGCCAAAATAAGGGTCGCAATCGATTCCCCGGGTCAATATCTAGCCGCAGCCTTGGGTTCCAGATGTCCCGCGGTTTTTGTCTGTGGTGGGTTAGGCATATGCATGTGCGTAGGCAGGTGTGATGAAATAGTGTGTGTCTTGTGTGTGTGCGTGTGTGCGTGTGCGTGTTTATATTTTACTTTGACCTCAGCCGTCATTGGGTTTTGCCTGTGGCTGACAATGCCTAATAAACAAATAAACAAATAAACTGACCCGTGACAAATGTTTCACTAGTCTGTGACAGCTGCCACTGACCTGTGACACAGGTGTGTCACTGAATGACCTGTGATGGGTGTCACTGACTTTCACTGACGTGTGTCAGGTGTGTCACTGGTCTGTGTCAGGTGTGTTACCGACCTGTGACAGTTGTATCACTGGTGTCACTGACCTGTGACAGGTGTGTCACTGACCTATGACGGCCTTGTTATCGCTGACCTGTGTCAGGTGTCACTGACCTATGTCGGGCGTGTCACTGACCTGTGACAGGTGTGTCACTGACCTGTGACAGATGTGTCACTGACCTGTGACAGGTGTGACAGGTGTGTCACTGACCTGTGACGGGCAGCGTGTCACTGACCTATGACAGGTGTGTCGGCCGGCGGTCAGTAGGTCGCGGTGCCTTCCCGTCGGCGGCTGGCGGGCCACTCGGCCGTCCAGCCACAGTCGGCCGCCTTATAGTCTGCACAGGCTCAGCGATCAATACGGGCACACACGGACGGCGGTACACGGCGCCGCCGCCGGCGGTGCACCGCCCCCCCTAACCCCCTCTGCCGGCACACCGGCGACAGGTGGACGGGGGGGGGGGGCAGAGTCATCCGGCGGTCAGGGCAGCGGAATGACCCGCGTACCGCCGGGGACTGTTCTAAAATGAGCGACGCCTCGCGGTCTTTCAATAAGGTAAAAACAGCACTGCTGCGCACATTGTTTACACTGTACTCACTTTATCATGTTTTCTTTCAAGATGTGTGAAACTATTAGTCTGAGACCACCTTTTTCAGGTGAGCACCAAGGTCAGCCACCCTACGATGTCAGTTCACCAGGCCAGGTCTGATGGCCGACCATTAAAAAAAATCAACATTAGCTATACCACACAGGCTGCGCAAACAAGCAAATATCTGATAACTATCGTAATCTGCGCGCGAAATCGTCTGTCGATGCATGCGAGGCTCCTCGTACTACCTTCCTTCATTCCTTCATTGTACTACCTTCATTCAGCTTGAGGACCAGCTTTCAGTCTGTTCCATATCCCGCCTTCAGTCAGTTCGAGGCTCTCCCTTCAGTCAGTGGCGGCTCTCTCTCTCTCTCTCTCTCTCTCTCTCTCTCTCTCTCTCTCTCTCTCTCTCTCTCTCTCTCTCTCTCTCTCTCCATGTTCCGCGAACGCCGCTCTGGCCCGTACGCCGGCTCAGCGCGCGGCGGCGTGTCAGTTTCAGACAGGACTAATGAGACGGCAGGATGGATGCGACACGAGGCCCCGCAGCCACATCAGACGCGCTGGACATTTTCGGCACAGCGTCACCAGCCCGCCGCGGGGGACGCAGTCTGGGCAGACGCGGGGCCAAAAACTGAACGGAACACCGAGACCTGATATACCTGTTTCGGGGAACAGTGGTCATTACAGATGACACTGATTCTTCTCAACTGACACTGATTCTGATTCTGTTCCTCGTCAGCGGCGAGAAAAATATACCTAACACACGACGAGTTGACCAAAGTTGACCGAGTTGACCTGGTCAGTGGTCACCGCCCAAGGCATTTTCACTGACTTCGACACCCGCTCAGCACCGCGCGTAGCCGAGAGATCTCCCTCCCTCGCTCCGGCTGCGTGAGTGGGCAGGACGGCCGTCAGACTAGACTCATCCGGGCGCAATACCCGTCACTCGAGACATGGCCGAGATGTTCGGAGAAATTCAAAAACGCAGCACCAGTCCAAGTCATCTGCAGGTAGTCATCCTAGTGGCCATACGCGAAACGCTGATCTTCTGACCGATTGGGCCGCAGGAGACGGGAAGTCGGAAAGGGTGTACTCGTATATTATCTGCCAATGACTGCTCGCTGAAACGATGTTTTCATTGATATGCCAATGATTGGCAAGAACAATCGAGTTCCAACACTGTGGCCACAATTACCTCCTCAATGGATGTTATAGACATAGGGTAACATTTACTGTCGGAAAACGTCGTCCAAATGGTAGAACAATGCCGCAGTCATCCGTCACTAAAGATGACAGAGATGGACGGACAACACAATCATTTATCACACCCGATCGCTGGGTTATGCAGTAGGAATAACTCGGGACCAACATTTGTTCAGTGATTGTCACCAGTCTGGCAATCACCGTGGCTTTGTATCCCGACAGTCGGGACATTCCACCCAGTGCACTGGACTGCTTGACGTCATTTCATTGATCTATTGCGGTAATCGGGTCTTCCCGGCTGTCACGCCACTCCGTCTCTCATTTAATACACGCCGTCAGAACCGATATCAAAATTAGACGGTTGATCTAGTTATCAGGCTCTGAAACTGAGCTGAAATCAAACGAATTACTTCTAAAAAAGCACGTGTTATATTTCCACAACTTACATGTTAGCATGGCACACAAGCGAATTCGGTATCACAGGACTTTCCGCTACTGAGCCGAGGATCCTACGCTGCTGAGACGCCCTTACACCACACTCGGCAGCCGTAACATCTCCACCAGGACTCCCCAGCCCTTTACCGGTCACAGCCGCGATATCCCGGTGTCGGGCCGGGCCGCTCCCACTGCCGGTCGGTGGAGGAACGGTCCCAGCGGGGCACTGACCGGCCAGAGCGTGCCGCGGAGCAGCATTGACCGGTCACAGCGGGTCACTGATCACCGACCCATCACAGTGGGTTACTGACCGATCACAAAGCGTCACTGGCCGGTCACATCGGGTCAGTGACCGACCGATTACAGCGGGCTACTGACCGTTCACTGCGGGTAACTAACAGACCGATCACAGCGGGTCATTGACCGGTCACAGCGGTCACTGACCGGTCACAGTACTTCAATGGCCGGTCACACCGGGTCACTGACCACCAACTGGTCACAGGCGGTTACTGACCGGTCACAACGCCTCCATGGCTGGTCACAGCACCTCACTAACCGTCCCTCTCCTATCACAGCGCGTCGGTGTCGGGCCGGTAGCAGGCGGCCAGGTCGCTGACCGGTCACAGCTGGGTCACTGACCGGTCACAGCGAACCCTCTCCTATTACAGGGCGTCCGTGTCGGGCCGGTAGCAGGCGGCCAGGTCGCTGAGACGCTCACGGACCTCACTGAAGTCGTCCGCCTCTAGGCCGCCGGCGGCGAACCGGTGGAACTTGGACACGTTGTAGCGGCCGACGATGGCGCCCAGGGAGGCCAGGCACTCGCCGGCCGAGCGAGACGAGACCAGAGAGCCGGCCGCCGGTGCCGACGACACCGCTGAGGGACCGGGGAGGGCAGGGGAGTTACACAGGGCGACTGACGACGGCCGGAGGACAGACCCGGGTACACCGAGGGTGGGATTTCGTACATCGGAGGACAGTCAGTGAGGGTGACAAATGGCAAAAGAAGCAGACAGTGCATGAAATCATACACGCTGAAAATGTCTGCATTGCTATCATAAACATTGAACGATGTCGATACAAAAGCTCACAACACTAGCATGCCAAAATACACAAAATATACATGCACTACCTACACGCTGTGATTGTATTTGTGTGTATGTGTGTGTGTGTGCGCAATACGCTGCAGTAAATTACCTGAAATAAGGACGTTCTACCTAGGACCTGTATTACTCTGATCTACCTAAAAAGTAAGCTGATCAAAAACAGACCTCGAAAGAACGCTCGAGCATTTCTAAGTAGATTTTAGGACTAAAGTACGTATCGCTAAAGTACGTAGGACAAAAGTACGTATGCAAATGTTCGTACGCAAATATACGTAGGCGATTAAGTTCGTATGCCAAAAGTACGTACGCAAATGTTCGTACGCAAAAGTACGTATGCAAAAGTACGTAGTGTATAAAGTACGTATGTCAAAAGTACGTACGCAAATGTTCGTACGCAAAAGTACGTATGAAAAGTACGTAGTGCATAAAGTGCGTATGCCAAAAGTACGTACGCAAATGTTCGTACGCAAAAGTACGTATGCAAAAGTACGTAGTGTAAAATGTACGTATGACAAAAGTACGTACGCAAATGTTCGTACGCAAAAGTTCGTATGCAAAAGTACGTAGTGTATAAAGTACGTATGCCAAAAGTACGTACGCAAATGTTCGTACGCAAAAGTACGTATGCAAAAGTACGTAGTGTATACAGTACGTATGCCAAAAGTACGTACGCAAATGTTCGTACGCAAAAGTTCGTATGCAAAAGTACGCAGTGTAAAAAGTACGTATGCCAAAAGTACGCACGGTTCGTATGCCAAAGTACGTAGTGTATAAAGTACGTATGCTAGAAGTAGGGTATAGTAGTGTAAGTTGAGCCACTTTTTCTTTATTGCTGCTCTGTTGCCATACTACAGGGAACTCATGATAAATTCATATACCAAATAATATAGCTTTGTCCATTTCGCCCATTTACTCATCGAGAAATTTTGCTATGCCTTGTAACAAATGCTCATTAAAAAAAAAGAATAAGAAAGGTATTACACATTGATCAACTTAACCCAAGGGTGGGGTACGTACTTAATACCCTACGTACATTTGCTATACGTACTTTTGTCCGTGACGTACTTTTGTCCACACGTAGGGTAGACCGGGGCAAGTCGCCCCGCCGAGGTAAACAGCCTCACCGATGTTTCTCGGAACTGGCAGGGTTCTCTCTTCTGTTAACCCGGCCGGGCCCGGAGGGTAATTCCAACCACCGCACACTGGTCGGAAACGCTCCAGCGAGAGGCCAGCGGCCTTTCCGCAAAAGTTTTTTGCTTGTTATTCCACAACTAGTGAAGCAAACTTCATAAAACTTTGCATACCTTCTCTGTCATATGTAATCTATCATTTGGATGTCAAGCACTAAATATGTGACGTGAATTTGTTAAGTTATGACGTCATAATTGAGTATAATACAGGATCTAGCACCACTTTAAGTCAACAAGGGAAATTGGGGGCTGCTATTCGGGCACCGGGAATGGTTTCATGCACTTCTTGCAAGGTCCAGTGCTTGACTTAAGCATTGTTGACTTTGCGTGACGTCATTTATGACGTCACTAAGGCCATATAAGTTTTTCGTCAATAACTCCTGATCAGATGGAGCTAGAGAGTCGGGAAAGCCACCATTGGACTCAGGAAGACCTGCCGAATCGAATGATATGCAATATGACCTCATTCAACCATTTTCGTGACCTGAGGGGCTCCGATCTGACCTTGACCCGAGGTTAACACCTTAAGTTGAGTTCACCCGAACACCAAGTATAGCATTCAACGCGCCTGAGCTAGACAAACACGATGATGCCAAAATCGCGGCAGTGCGACCATTTTTGGTAAAGTAATTAACCTAAAACCGAACCCGTGCCTTGTGGCACTTACCTGACCTAAGAGGTCACTGGCTGACCTAAGACCTTAAAATCGGGTAGCACCTGATTTTTGCGTCTTATAACGGCACACAAGCTTTTTTTCCGCCAGGCTCTAGCTCAATTAGAGGCGAAACGGCGAGGGAGTTGTACCAACCCTCCCCGGTCAATATAGAAAACCAATCGGTCCGGCCCGGGGTAAATACCGGAATTGTGATCTAATGTAACTAAAGACGGCCCAAGGTAACCCGACGTCAGTGACAGGCGTCCTATATTTGCAGCGTCTTATATTCACGAAGGTTTCAATTTCCACTTTCTTCAGCCGAGTGATGGTTGTCAATAGCTGATAGCAAGGCTCTCTAAATACAAGCCGTAATCGCCACGCAATATGTGGAAGGCTTTTGATGTCAATACATCAACATAAATGCATACATAAAACGCGCTTTTCACAAAATTCATAAACTCAAGCGCATCTGTTTTTAATGACCAGTCAACTACGCATGGATGCGTGCAGGCCACACAGGTCAGCGTAAGCCGGGCGCGGCGGCCGAGCCGAAACTGGGGCGGGGCGGGCGGTAGTTGGGTAGGAAGAGCGGCTCCTGCAAATTTTGCGCAAATATGCGCAGTTAGCTTTTATGTTGCCCTGGTGTAAATTTAAATCCTACTTCATCTCACAAAAAATCAGAGTGGAACTAGATGGGACTACCTGTTGTTTCCTTACCTAAACTTTGCAGTTATATTCCAGAATCACTGTAGGAGAGCCTTCATAAAAAGCTATAGTACATCTTAGTTAGGGATTTAGTATGCCAAAAATTTTGCACTGACCAGTCGGCAACTTCATAACGAACATTTTGATGCATAATATGTGGGATTTCAATTTGGTGTCTATCAGCAATAAGACTCTGAATATCCGGCTCAAGAAACCTCTTGCTCCGCGTCAGTTTCCGAGTTCTGGGATACCCCATCTTCGGGGGCTGATTACAGTTATTTTTGGTCACCCGGATTAGTTTTTTGGCCTAAGTATAATAATTTGATCAATTTCAAATCGATCTATATAAAAAATAATCCGAAACTCCGGAATCGCCCGTGGCCTCTCGTCAGGGCGTTTCCGACCAGTGTGCACCGCAGCCCGGGGAGGGGAGTTTTTCGCCCCCCTGTCTAACTCCGTAAATAAGAGAGCTACGCAAACAAAGGCGATACCAAACGAAAGGTCCTTACGAGACGCTTCTAAAGCACCTAAATTTTTTGACCTCAGGCCAATTTTCAAGGTCAGAGGTCAAGGTCAAAGGCAAAAACCGGCACATGTGTAGTGATCTCAAAGTGAGCGTACTAGAGGACGGCAGGATGCATGAAACCGGTAACATTGGGTGTCAAACGAAAGAAGAGAATCTGAGAATTCCGAAAATGTGCTCAACATCAAAGGTCAAGGTCAAGGTCATGCTCAAAATTGACCTCAAACTTACACTTTTTCGTACATCTTGTGTGTCAACTTCCAAGATGTTTTGAAATGTTTTGAGGCTTATCAGGTCCCTATTTGTGGTTCATCTTACGATACAAGGCTGCTAAAAGGTCAAGGTCACAGAAGAGAGTCCTTGCTAGAGGCTATTTCACTGATTCAAGTTAGTAATAATAAATAAGACAATTTTGCAATCCGGAGGCTCTAAATAAAGGCTTAGAGGAAAATAGATGCCAGATTCGTGATCAGCGGGTACGAATCCATCATAAACGACTTTTGATGTGTCAATGTCAACCAAAAGTCATTCGAGGTCACATGAGGTCAACATAAAACTTACCTTTTTCCAAACAAAATATATATCATTCGACGCGGCTTGACAAGACAAATGCGATGATACCACTGCCGTAGCTCTAGGACCTTTTTTGTCGAAGTTATTTGCGAAAAACTAAAACCACAGCTCGGGGTCGTTGACCTGACCTCTGATCTCAGGTCACTAAAACTATTTTTGTATTTTTGTCTAGGTCAAATGCTACACAACCGTGCTTGTAATTTGTCTTTATCTTTAAAACTCTATTTTTAGCAGCTATTTGAAGTTCGCGTCTGTGACACCGAAGTTCGCCGTGCAGGGGTCTAGAAAAATCGACTTTGTGACGGCATCAATGGGGCTAGGTCCAATTTTTTTACTTCAGATGATGTCAAATTGATGGGAGAAAAGGTACCTAAAGTTTTGCTTTCCTATCCCTAAGCGTTCGGGAGCTATCGCAAATATTCGCCAGGAAGGGGGGGGGGCGAAAAACGCTCCCCCCGGGCCCGCGAGGGCTAATCTAGTGTATGGGGCTTCTTGCCTCAGGCCGTGGGGCGTTTTGCCCTGGGGTTGGGGCAAAATGTCCCATTTGCAGTTGCTTCACAAAGCACTTCCTAGCTGGGAGTCCGATCATAAGTGAATGAATTTGAGCGATGGAATTTAGAGTAAAATGTCCAAAGAACACATTGAGCACAAATTTGGCCTTCCAGGTGATGTGAGACAAAAGTAGGTACCTATGTAGCAAAATAAATTATCTGGGGCGTCTTGCCCAAGGCTACCCTACTTTATACCCTACGTACATTTGCTATACGTAGGCTTTTGTACGTGACGTATTTTTGTCCATACGTACTTCTGCGATACGTACTTTTGTCCGTGACGTACTTTTGTCCATTATACGTACTTTTTACCCTACGTACATTAGCTATACGTACTTTTGTCCGTGACGTACTTTTGTCCATACGTACTTTATACCCTACGTACTTCTGCGATACGTACTTTTGTCCCTGACGTACTTTTGTCCATACGTACTTTATACAGTACGTACTTCTGCGATACGTACTTTTGTCCCAGACGTACTTTTGTCCATACGTACTTTATACTGTACGTACTTCTGCGATACGTACTTTTGTCCTTGACGTACTTTTGTCCATACGTACTTTATATCGTACGTACTTCTGCGATACGTACTTTTGTCCCTGACGTACTTTTGTCCATACGTACTTTATACTGTACGTACTTCTGCGATACGTACTTAAATGCTACGTACTTTTGCTTACGTACTTTTGTCCTACGTACTTTAGCGATACGTACTTTTGTCCGTAACCCTTCTAAGTAACTGGGAAGTTAGTAATTCCCCGCGTCTATCTGATTTCCCTGAGGCATCGCCCTGTCAGGAGGGCCTGATCAAAGAAATCCCATTGGCAGTACTGAGAACGGTAAACGGCAATAAACGCTGCCTGAACGTCAGAATGGATATTCTAAAATTCATACATTGACGGGCGAGCGACAAAACTTTTCATTTACCCTGTGTTTTTGTCAAATTGCCTTCGTTGTTATCGCCGACAAACATGTTCGATTGGAAGAGAGCCCGAAACAATGTTCGCTTTGAAATGATAGGTATTGCTACGATATGATTGATAATTCTGAAAACCAACTATAAAAACTGGACGCGATAGTTACTGAAATGCTTTTACGCATACTCTACTTCCAAGCACTACCTACCCATACCGAAACATGACATATGAAACACGGCGGTTATAGAGCCGCAAATCCATCAGTTCATCGTCCGCTGTCAATACCTCAGCATCTGGAGCCTCGCCACCACTTACGCTACATCACCACCCGTCTCCTCCCTCAGTTGCCACACTCCTCACCTGTGGCGGTGGCCTGTCGGGGTCGGACCAGCCCGTCCGGACCGACATCAGCCGTAAACAGGGAAGGGAACGGCGCGGCCGTCCTCAGCGGCTCCCGCAGCCGGCAGGCCAGCTGGCGGCCCGGCCACCGCACCACCGCCTCCTGCCACGGGTCACTGTCGGACCTGTGGACAGAGGGCACGGGTCACAGGTGACGGTGGGTTCCAGATGCACAGGTCATAGGTCAGGGATTATTGTCGGCCGTAGGCACAAGGCACCGGTCACAACCCACTGCTAGTCGTGCAGTCACTCGTCATGGGTCAGCTGCCGGTACTAAAGTCACAGGTCACGGGTCAGGTGCCAGTCCTGCAGTCACCAGCTAGGTGCCGGGTCTGGAGTTGCCGGTCACGAGTCTGTGGCACTGGGGTCACAGGTCATGGAGCGTGTGTCACCGTTCACCTGGAGCCACCAGCCGGCTCTCACAGGTCGCTGAACTTCTGTCACTGCTCAGGCGATTCCCGGAACTGGTGCCACGGGTCTCAGGTGAGCTGTAGCGGCCGGCGAGTTCCGCCCGGATGTGCCGCGCGCCGGCCGCCGGTGCGGACTCCGCCCGGCCCACCGACAGAGTACCGGAGGCGGGCTCAAATGGCACCAGCCCGTCTCGGTATGAAAAGGCAGCCGCTCGGCGGCAATACTCCCCAGTGCATACCGCGGAGACTTCCGAGGTTTCGCACACGGCTCCAAAGGTCAGAACCTTTTCAGTGGCGAGCTGAGAAGGCGGATTTCCCGACGGCGAGGGAAATCGGGTGTGGCAACCGTCACACCTAATATTAACGGGCCCCGGCAGCCATCCATCACCACCCACTTTGGTTGCTTCACCAGTGACATCGCCTATTATGTTAGTCCATCCCGAAAGGAAAATATTCGAAACAATGTGAATGAAGAGCGTAACTACGATCAAATGATGCAGTTAAAGAAAGATGCAGCTTAGATGATGATGATTGGGTTTTGTGGCATGTCCAACCTAAGATGTATACAAATGCTCCAAAATGCATCAAACTGTTCGCGAGATAATTTTTTTTGTTTAATTGGGTTAGGACCATTCGGTCCGACAAGACCAGTTCAGAGCCGGAAGGATGATAGGATTTAGGGGGAGACATTGGTCTGGGCAGGCACCCTAGTGAGTCACCGGGGCTGAGCCCGTCCAGAGGACAGGCCACCCAGCCCCAAGGCACTCACTGCACCCAGCGACGGGGGTGTGCTCCCTCGGGAGCAGCGGAGCCGCTCCAAGAGAGCAGCCCGCATGAGATGAGAATTGCCTGTCCAGAGTTGCCTGTCAGAGTTGCCGCATGAGAGTTGCCTGTTCAGCCCGGACTGAGGGTTGCGGCGTGGAGGAGAAGGATTTGATTGTCCCTACGATGGAAACGACGGATGGGTTGGTGGAGAGATAAAATCGACGCTGGGATGCATCGTATGCGGCCAAGTCTTCTTGGACAGTTTCCAGTCTTGAGCCGTCGAAAACCTAGGCTGCACTCGAAAGGAGATAAGTATTTTTGCATACGTAATCCATTGATGATGACCAGTACCTACCAATTGCCAAAAAGTCAAGACCAGATCCACTACAAGTCAAGAGAGATAAACAACGTACAATTTTCAAAGAGATAAAATTGTTTTGAAGTTGGTGGTTGATTTTACTTTTCGTATGAAGTTCAGCAATGCCTTTTGATTTACTCAATATATATATATATATATATATATATATATATATATATATATATATATATATATATATATATATATATATATATATATATATATATATATATATATATATAATTTAATTATATATATATATAATTTATATATATAATTATATATATAATTATATAAATTATATATATATAATTTAATTATATATATATATATATATATATATATATATATATATATATATATATATATATATATATATATATATATATATATGTATATATACGACACATATTTTCAGCTTTTGACGTCCTGGGTACCAAACAGAGCTTTTCCGTCACTCACCTGGTCTGTTGTTCTGGCACACCCCGCAGCACGGCGCAGCCGCTCCACACGTCCGGCCCGGTCCCGGCAGCGGGCGCCGGCACCCCGGGCGTCAGACTCTGCAGCCGCAGACTCCCGGCGTCCAGCCAGTCTGCCAGCCGGTCCCCGGGGCCGACACCCAGCGGCAGGGCCAGCCCGGCGGCGGCCACCGTCCGACCGCGGCCCGTCAGAGCCGCGGTCACCTCGTACAGCGGCACCGGGCCCTGCTTCCGCCGCCACGGCGCGGTGACCGTGTCTAGCGCGGCGGCCAGCAGCGCACTGCCCTCGTACGACGCCCCGCCGTACTCGAGGTGCTCGAACTGTCTCAGAGAGGGCGGGACGAGCGGCGCCGACCAGCGCTCCTGGACAGAGAGCGGCACGGACAGGGCAGCCAGCCGTCCGCCGGCGTCCAGCGTCAGCGCGGCGTTCACCGTACGGTGGACGATCTGCGGCAGCGTCAGCCGCGCCGGCGCCGGCGGCTGCAGCGGTACCAGCAGCGCCGGCCGCCGCGGGTACTCGTCACTGAGGTGGGCGAGCGCACCGGCCGCCACGCCGCCGAACCCGTCACACCCGTCCGACAGCACGTGGAACCCCTGCGGCACGGCGGGGGGGGGGGAGAGGGTTATACACTGTCACACCCGTCCGACAGCACGTGGAACCCCTGCGGCACAGCGGGGGGGGGGGGGGAGAGGTTATACACTGTCACACCCGTCCGACAGCACGTGGAATCCCTGCGGCACAGCGTAGGGAGGGGTAGTTCCGTCAGTGAAACAGAAACAGACCAAGGAATCCTCACTGACCTGATAGTAACTGAAGAATGTCTAACGACGATTAGGGGTCCGTCACATGTAAAGAACGGCGGACAAGCTGTTGTACGCATATAATGACGCTGATTTATGTAAAATGTACGAACTGCAAACGTGATTAGTTCACGCCGCTAAGATGTGAATACGAATGGCGAGACTGAAGAGGTACGGAGGATACGTGTCTAGGGCGTGCAGTTGAACTTACTGCTAGGTGATCGCACTCCTCGGCGTAAGCTCTCAGGCGATCTTCAAAGCAGTCACGAAAATCCTCTCGCGAATACTGGGCCTCGCCGTAGCTGTAAACAATCGTTCCGCGATCAATGCCTGCCCAGTGTCCACTGATACGACTTTTGTCAAATCATTACAAAGCTCAATAGCTGTCATTCATAGACTCTTACTGAGTTAGCCAGGGCCGGCGGCCACCATTACTCACCCGAACACGTCGAACGGGTCGCTGGCGTTATCGTGCAGGTGCTCGGTGAGTATGTGCACGCTCCAGGGGTGCAGGTGAGTGCCCAGGAAGTCGGACCACACCTTCACCGCCACGTCTGGACTGGCGGGCTCGTCAGACTCCGCCTTGTCGCCGTCCGGCTCTGCTCTGATCTCAGGCGTCTCCGCCGGCTGACCGTCTGCTGATCGGTGAAAAACATCAAAGTGATCTGTCAGGACACCAGAAAGCGAACAAGCAATGTTTACAGTCAACAGAGGATGATGACGATGAATGTAGATTTTCAGCCGCCCGACCTGCACAAGCATTCGGCACCAAACAGTTCCAAAGAGAGACACCCAGACCTTCCCTACCGGACACGGCACCCCCTGGCAGCTGACCGTGGGTCTGGCAGACGTCCTTCTCGCCGGCCGGGTCGCCGGCGCCGTCCAGCCGCTGCAGCAGGCCCGGCCGGCCGGGCTCCTGCTTGTGGCGCACCGTGTCGCCGTGCCAGAGCCGCTCGGTGGCGGCGGCCGCCGGCGGCGCCTCCTCTCCGTACAGACGGCCGCGCCGGCGCAGGCCGCCCAGGCTGCCGCGCAGGTCCACCGCCAGCAGCCGCGGCGTGAACGTGCTCTCCCGCTGCTCGGCACGGCGTCCGGTCAGACAGACGGAAACGGAGCCACAGGTACAAGGAGGGGGTGGGAACGGAGAGGGAGCAGAAAAAAATATGAGAACGTCAAGCATGATAATATTCACCTTGAAAACCAACTTCAAAAACACAATTCATTACATCTAGGTATCCTAAGCTGTCATCAATGTTATGGTCAGCGCTGATCTTTAAATGTTCTTTTCATGAGCTAGCAACATTCCAAAACAAGAATAACTGCAGTGAGTAGGGATTAAAAAGGGTAGAAATACCTGAAATGTTTCTCCTTCACGAAATAAGACGCCATGGTCGATTTCTACTTTAGCAGTTGGATCATAAACAAATGATGACTCTTGAATGTTCCACCAATGAGTGCCAACAAAGTTGGCATAATGACCTGTCTGCAGAGTTATGATCTCTGGAGTGTGAGAACCCATTCTGGAAGCAAATCAGTTGCTGACAGGCAAATCTCCCTGCAACAAAAAATGAGTCAACATTTGGATGCTTATTGGCCTTTCACTTCATCTTGGTCAGTGTCCAGATGACAGTGGAAATGTTGCATAAACACTGAAACTGAAAGACCTTACCTAATATCTGCCCAACTAGAAGTGTGGTAGACTGCAGAGTGTATACTGTATGCATTAGTATGTGTGAGCCTGGGGGACTCAGGTTTTTTGCCCTAGAACTTTGACATATTCTGAGACAAAACGTGTAACCTCATGACATCACAAACCTTTCTAGACTTGCAAGGCTAATTTTGCATGTTATTCAAACAGCTACTGAAAACAGCAGTTTGGAAACATGTTACATGGTTGTGCAGCATAGCAGACTTTGAATAGAGATAGGGGGAACTTAAAGTTTTGGTGACCTGGGGTCAGGTCAGCTACATCTATTTATTTATTAAGCCGGAGCGTCACTATCCAAAATGGGTTTCCCTTTCACTCCCATCAATCTACCTGTCCAATTCATATAGGTGAAGCAGGAAACCTACCTGGTGAGTTGACCAGGTGAGTGAGGTTTTTGTTATTGTTATCCTTATTTTCTACTGTAGCATTTACTATAAGAAACTTGAAAAATGAACATCGGATATCAATAATAACACAGTCCATCGTGCCATTCGTAATGTTACTATGCAGCCTTTAGTTATTCCAGTCCATCCAGTCATAACTGTAACTGCAAGTAGGTAAGTCCTTGATTGCGATGCTTATCACTAATTGTTTGTTATGGTGTGTAGCCTAGTACTGCTCCAATTAAGTTGTTACTTCATATTAAGCCAGCAGTTGCAGCTCTTTAGAAAACTCACACAGATACCAACAAGTGGGATTATATCAAAATTCCATACCCAAGGCTCTGTCACATCATTCACTGCGCAACTCTTTCCACTCTGGTTTTGGGCGGTCACTGCGTCGTGTCTAACCACGTTGACTCCCTAGCAATGCAAGTCACCGTAAACAGCGGTTTGCATGGAGAGCCGTTTTTAATTTTTGCGAATAGCTGTGAAAACGCAAACTTCGCTGACCATTGGTTAATAGGTGCTTAAAAAGGTTTGTGACCCGAAAAAATGAGATTTAGAACAAAATTAAACGTTACAACTGCGCAGTTTTTGATTGAAAAAGAGCTACCATATAATTTGCTTCCATATTTCCTGCCCATGGCAAGTTGAAGTAATCTTGCATGGCGATGTGCGCATAAACAACGGGGAATGACGTGTAGTAACGGTGTTAGGATATGGCAAGGGATACGGCTTGTGTTGATATTATCTCAGTTTGTGTGGTTTATGTTAATTTTCAGATCAGTCATTTTTCGCTGTTAATTGGTTATCTATATAGCAATTTACCCGCGCCGTTTCCCTTTTGAAACGGTCGATAGTCTGAACGTTGGCAAGGCTTTCACTTCCCATGAAAAATTCCGAAATTTAGCTCATCAGTCATCACATACCTATATCTGACTAGCTCATGTGTATTTTTATTTCAGATTCTTTACTCTGATGTTTGTTGGTCTGGTCCTGGTGAGGAGTTGTAGATGCAATAAAAATAGACAGGAAAGTTCCCTATTGTCTATCCCCAACTGAAATGGAAACAGAAAGAAAACCAGTCATAACATGTAAGTATGATCCCTACACGATCAAGAGCCCATCCTGGCAATAACATATCAGCATTCTACTGCCAAAACAAAAAATGAAGCATGTTCGCATATCAAATTGATTAGAGAATTGTCATGTTCTAGGTAGATATCAATCTGAATGGTCTTTGTGTGCACTCAGCCAGGAATTGTTTTAAAATAACTGAATGCCCCAGAGGTGCAGCACATCCTCGTTTCCTGACTCCCTCCTGTCTGCCGCAGACGCCGGCAAGCTGAGAGTGTTCCAGCAGTTGCAGAACGGCCCCTGACGCCTCCCCTGTCCCCCACAGACGCCGGGGAGCCGGCGGTGTTCCAGCTGCTGCAGTACAGCAGTGTCCCTGACGCCTCCCCTGTCCCCCACAGACGCCGGGGAGCCGGCAGTGTTCCAGCAGCTGCAGAACGGCCCCTGACGCCTCCCCTGTCCCCCGCAGACGCCGGGGAGCCGGCGGTGTTCCAGCAGTTGCAGAACGGCCTGGTGCATGGCCTGCCACAGGAGTCGGTCGAGTGGCGCCGCAGCTACGGCCGCGCGCCGCGCCACGTCACCCTGGAGGCCAGCTTCGAGCCGTTCTCGGAGGCCACGCTGGTGGACGACATGAGCACGCTGGTGCGGCGGCCGTGCCTGCACACCTTCTGGACCGACTGTCCGGTAAGCGGGGACTGAATGTTTGGTGAGAGCGGACACTGATCTGTGAGCAGGGGTCGATTTTACGGTGAGCGGCGGTGACTCGTAAATTTCCTGCTAACGAGTATCGGCTGTCCTGGGAGAGGGGACTGATAACTGAATGTTCTGTGAGAGATAAGACGGGTCGTTCGATAGTCGATTAGAGGAGGCCAACTGTACGGTGAGAGGGGAGAAACTGTGCGGTGAGAGGGGACTGAATGTCCGTTGAGTATGGAATGAACTTCCGGTGAGCTGAGACCGGATGTCCGGTGAACGGGGTCTGACTGTCTGATAAGCAGTTCTGACTGCCCCCCAAAAGGGACCATCGCACGGTGAGTTATGGCTGATGGACTGTGGCAGTCAACATTTGGGAACCGATGATAAACGTCATCCGGGTTGTCATTGTGCTGGGACGTCGATCGCAGACAAGAAAATGTGCCGCTTTTCGTTTCCGTGACACTCTCCCACGCTCGAGTCAGCTAGTTTTCCTCTGAATATTTTGCGGCTAACAAATGCACTTTTTGTTGCATCTTACCTCACTTGTTGTTACTTGATTTTTGCATTCTTCCATTCTGCTTTTTATTCATTAATTTATAGTTCATTAATCGTTTCCTTTTGTATTTCATATCATGCTCAGTGGCCAATTTTTAACTTTTGTACCCGATGCTCGCTCATCGTACATAATACTGTTACAAAAAAACAGGTTAGCATTTATTGCTTTCACATCGAAGACTCATAGCAGCAAGATAACCACACATAAACTAGTACGTAGCTGGTTCCCTTTCTTTTTCGCTTCCCCAAAAATCCCCCTTTTTCCGTCGCGTCGATTTACAATTAATAAATTATGCGTCCGTCGCGAGAGAAAATCCCGCAGCACCTTTCGCGGCGGATATTTGCAACAATACGTCAACTGTCTCCCCGCCCTCGTCAGGACATTGAGACGTACAAGTCCAGCACGCGCGAGTCGCTACAGTCGTGGCTGGCCCAGCTGCGGCAGCACAATGTGGTCGACTGGCTGGTGGTGGTGGTCGAGTCGGCAGAGGCGCGCAGCAAGACCAACAAGCTGCTGCCGCGCTCCTCGGTCCTCGACAAGGTCAAGGCCGACATCAACAGCAAACACGGAGACCGGTCAGTGGCGTGCAGCCGCGGAATCAGTAAACGTTCGTGAATCTGTATCATGGTCGAAAGTGACTTGACTGATGAGCGGGTTGACCGTGATGCCGAGATATAATCGAGAAACCAGTGAATAAGGACCAATTTTAACGTTCTCTCTACCTATTTCTCTCACGGCCCCCTCCGCTCCCCTACGGGCTAACCTCATGTAACTAGGACGGTTAGTTCCCCGGTGTCTCACGTGTTCCCTCTCTGAGGTCGTTGTTCTGCAGGTGTATCACGCTGCTGGACCCCTCCAAATCGGACTCCCGCTCGGCCGGCTCCCTGCACAGCCTGCTGACCAAGCTGCGGCACTTCCTGCTGATCGGCTTTAACCGGGTGTTGGTGCGGTTTGAGGATTCCATGCGCAGCCAGCGTGAGTGGCCGGCGAGCGGTGGTGGCGGGGGACCGTGGCTGCTCTATAACTGCCAGATGTTCAGATTTCATCAGTCAGTCAGCTTATCAGTTATACAATTATTGACTCGTGCAAAAATTTGAAACTTACAGTAAATCGTTTGCCTTTAAAGTCGTTTCGATTTCTGACTGTCTTGGATAGTCCTTATACGATTCACTGATATGAGCACCTACAAACTTGCCCTCAATCGTCGTTTTTCCTCACCTCTTGTTTCCCTCTCCGCAGGCGAGAAGCGCACTTCGAGCGACTGGAGTTTCTGCCGGTACTTTCCGCTGCAGGAGGAGCTGGCGTTTGTGTTCGGACAGCTGGGCCTCTGTGACGAAGCGCTCGTGCAGTATGATGAGCTGGATGCCCTCTTTACGCAGTTCATACTCAACTCGTGCGCTGGAGGTCAGTTGAACACTCACTGGTTTGCCAGAACACCCGGCATCCGTGATGCTGTTCACGTTTTGCAGTAGGTAATATGATTCGAGTTAGCTTATTGTAATTTGGTTTTGTTTGTGGCGAGGATAAGGAGGAACTTTAATTTGGGCACTGCCACTATTTGGTCCTTGATTATTGGCCAACCAATGCATCCACAAGTTGTAAATTCATGAATCGAATATGAATATTATTTCCGAGGTATACATTCTTCTCGAACCGCCTTCCCTAAACGACAGCTGCATTGCTCAAGATCCTGTGTGTCTCCCCCTCTGTGTATTTATAACAGACACTCCGCGCTGGCTGGAGACGTTCTCCCAGCCGGTCCAGGGCTGGCAGGGACTGGCCGTAGTGTTACCCTCTGACCAATATCTCCCTCTCTGTGTATAACAGACACGCCGCGCTGGCTGGAGACGTTCTCCCAGCCTGTCCAGGGCTGGCAGGGACTGGCTGCTGTGGTACCCACAGTGACCAATGTCTCCCCTCTGTGTATAACAGACACTCCGCGCTGGCTGGAGACGTTCTCCCAGCCTGTCCAGGGCTGGCAGGGACTGGCCGTAGTGGTACCCACAGTGACCAATGTCTCCCCTCTGTGTATAACAGACACTCCGCGCTGGCTGGAGACGTTCTCCCAGCCGGTCCAGGGCTGGCAGGGACTGGCCGTAGTGGTACCCACAGTGACCAATGTCTCCCCTCTGTGTATAACAGACACACCGCGCTGGCTGGAGACGTTCTCCCAGCCGGTCCAGGGCTGGCAGGGACTGGCCGTAGTGGTACCCACAGTGACCAATGTCTCCCCTCTGTGTATAACAGACACGCCGCGCTGGCTGGAGACGTTCTCGCAGCCGGTCCAGGGCTGGCAGGGATTGGCTGTTCCTGCCAGCTGCTCGGAGGAGATGCGGAACGCCCTCTGCAATCGAGAGATGTCCCTGCTCGCCTTCAGGTACGACGCGCAGTCTAGCTGAATGTGTTCGTAAGTGACTACATCGTACACGGCGGCGGCGGATTATTTAGGATTTATGTTGATGTAGGATTTATGATTTATGTTTAGGATTATTTAGGATTACTCGTAAGGGAGGCTGATCAGTATAATGGTGCGTGGGTGTAAGGTTGGAAATGCGGGACAGCAATGGTGAACAGCTGATTGATCTCGGGACTCGGGAGTGTTTTGACTTTATATTTTGGAACATCACTGGAGGTAATTGATTTGCTGTTTACGGAGCGAGCGAAGCGAGCGTAGTCTTTCCTTAGATTAACGGAAATTTCTGAGTATGAGCGGCCGGCCGGCCGGCCGGCCGGCCGTGGTCACGCTTTTGCGAGGCTTATATCTCAGCAACCACTTGACCGATTTACACGCGGTAATTTTTGTAGGGTAGCTTCATTCCTTCTACCAAGTATTGGACTATTCCCGATGCATGTGGGTGACCCCTTATGCACGTGCCACGTGCAAAACGAAGAGGTGTCACTTTTGTAATTGTTGCAATATCTCGGTAACTACTTGGCCGATTGCGCTGAAAGTTGGCATGTAGGTAGGCACCCACTAGGCACTGCATATACATGTGCCAGAGTTGGGGTGCTGCTGCACGTGCGCACGTGCAGGGGTCGTTTCCAGATCTCGAGAACGGCTGGACCGATTGCGCTCAAATTTGGTACACGGTTAGGGACCGGTTAGTAGGGTGCCGTGCACAAGTCCGTTAGGACCCATTTTGCACGTGCGCACGTGCAGGGTGCCGCTTCCAGATCTCGAGAACGGCTGGGCCGATTGTGCCCAAATTTGGCACATCGCTAGAGACCAGTTAGTAGGGTGCCGTGCACAAGTCAGTTGGAGGTACCCCCTCGCAATTTCGCACGTGCAAGGCCCACACTCGCTCGCTCCGTTAGTCGCCCCAAAAGGCGTTTTACTGGTTTTATCTACATGCAATGCGGCTGCCGTGTGTACAGCTCGTCGTTTTAGCCTGATAACCCCATCCGTTCTCTGTCTCAGGAACTACCTGTATGCGCGTCAGTGTGTTTTGCTGAAGAAGCTGGACCGGACCCCGGAGATCGCCCAGCGCACCATCACCTTCCTTTTCAATACCATCAACGAGCTCGGCCTCATGGGACTCGAGATCCAGCAAGGTAATGCATAATTGCATAACCAGCATCGGAAAAAATACTAATGTCATTTGATAATGAAGCATTGCTAACTAACAGCTAACCTCATAAGAACGAGAGACGACACTGATTTATATTTTCGTCTCACTGGAAATGATGTTTAGTTCTTTTATTTAGGACTCGATTTATACAGCTTAGATAGTGCCATACTGGTTCGTTGGGACATCCCCCCGTTCGTTATTTGATCTTTGCGCTCGCAGGCGGTGTGGCCTGCTGGGCGTTCATCGGTCGATCATTGTCCCACCTCTCACCCACTCACCTCGTGTCTTGCAGGCGGCATGGCGTGATGGGCATTCGTCAGCCTATCTCAGTATCCACCTCTCACCCCTGCACCCTGTGTCTCGATGGCGGCGTGGCCTGCTGGCCATCCGTCAGCAGATCATTGTCCACCTCTCACCCACTCACCTCGTGTCTCGCAGGCGGTGTGGCCTGCTGGGCGTTCGTCACCTGTATCAACGTGCTGGACATGTGTGCCGAGATTCCAGCCGACACGGCTGCCCAGCAGGGCATCGGCGTCCACACGGCCAGTCTGTACGACCAGGCGCGACTCAAGGTCCGTTCGCGGGGGGGGGGGGGCGCTGCAGGGGGGGGGGGAGGTACACGGCAAGCCTATACAACCAGGCACGACTCAAGGTCCGTCCGGGGGGGGGGGCGCTGCAGGGGGGGGGGGGATGCACACTGCCACCCGGTACGACCAGGCGCGACTCAAGGTCCGTCCGGGGGGGGGGGAGGGGTGCACACGGCCAGTCTGTACGACCAGGCGCGACTCAAGGTCCGTTCGTTGGTGACCTTGAGAACTCAAAGGACGGTGGGGATGCCCCGCCGGGGGGGGGGGGGGAGAATTTGCACAATGCACGTGCACTTAGACTCGAGTAGACTGGTGTTGATGGTAGGTGCATCTGCGGCTCTTAGCATTCCAGCTAGGACGTCATTTTCATGCGTGGTAGGTCCCTGACAAGTTTCAGTTACACAATTGACTGCCCGTGATTGTAAAGCAAGTATTTTATGACGGGCCACTTGGAACGAAACGCGGTTATTGGCTTGGGGGATATGGACCTCACACCAAATGAGCTGTTTGTCAGGGGTAGGTGCTCTCGGTGAGTGACTGATCTGTATTTACTCTCGGGTCACTGGTTTTATTGCCTACAGTTAACCTCACTCTAGCATCGTACTGGATGAGCTGTCTCACAGATTTGGTTTATTGTGCCGATATTTCTACCCACATATAGCCTGGAAGCTCGTGTGCTATAAGGCCCGTCTCTAAACTGCCAGTAGCAGCAGTTAGGCATTTTCTTAGAGCTGTGTTGGCTGCTGAAGTGTGTGTCCTGATTCTCGCTTGTGGTGCGTTTCCAACCGTCCCTGTTCGGCTGGCAGCTGTACAGTCTCGGAGAACTCTGCGGGCTGCTGCCGGGCGACGAGCCCACTTCCTCCCAGCTGCACCTGACCGTCACCCTGTCAGCCGGCATGGGAGACAACTCGCCGGCCGTCGAGAAACTCAAGGACGCCCTGGCCGGACACGACGCCTTCCAAAAGTGCTACCTGGTGAGCCAGACGAGCTATCCAATGATGTTGGAGTTAGGCTACCATTGATGGGTGCGCACGGCGCATGTGAAATATTCTGATTCATCACGAATTGGTTCGTCACGAATTCATTCTAATTGCGCATCAATAAAACGTCTCTTTCGGTCAATGATGTTAAGCGAACAGTAGACACACAATGGTCTGCTGGTCGCTTGTGGTATAGTACCGGCGTCGCTGACCTGCCCCCCCCCCGTCCTCCCCGCCCCTAGGAACTCTCCGAGCTGGCGATGGGTACCTACAAGCACATGGGTCGTCTGCGGCTGGCGCGGCTGGTCGGCCGTCAGCTGGCCACGTTCCACCTGCGGCTCGGCCAGGCCGCGCACGCCGCCTCGCTGCTGACGGACGCGCTGAAAACCTACCAGGAGGAGGGCTGGGGCCGGCTGGCCGCCCAGCTGCTGCTCCAGCTGGCGCACTGCTACCAGCTGATGGGCGACCGGCAGCGGTACACGCAGACCTGCGCCCTGGTGGCCGCCAGCGAGCACGTGCCGCACCAGACGCGGCTCGAGTTCACGGAGCGGCTGCGCGCGCCGGCGGCCGGCGCCGAGCCGCGGCTCACGCTGGCCGCCGAGGAGGTGGTGTCGGTGCGCGAGACGCGGCTGGCGGCGCCCGACTCGGAGCCCTACCCGGGCGCGCGGCTCGAGGTGCGCGTGACGGTCGAGAGCCGCCTGCCGGCGCCGGTGGCGCTGAGCCGCGCGCGCGCCGACCTGCAGCCGGCGCTGGCCGCCGAGCAGGTGAGCCGCAGCACCAGCTCGGCCAGCACCTCGAGCGCCGGCTCGGTGCGGCGCGGCGGCGTGGCGCGCCGGCCCAGCTCGCCGGCAGCCGCGGACGGGCCGGCGGCCGGCGGCGGCGAGCTCTGCCTGGAGCCGGCGCTCGAGTACAAACAGGACCGCAGTCTGAGCGCCGCCACGCTCGTCTGCCGCAACATGTTCAAGGTGCTGCGGCGCAAGGACAGCGGTCAGCCGGCGGCGCTGGCGCGGCCCAGCCACCTGCCGGCCGCCGCCTTCCAGCAGAGTCTGGAGGCGGCGGATGTGACGCTGCAGCCGGGCGCCACCGAGCTGGTGCTGTCTGCGCGCGTCCAGCAGCCGGGCACGTACGTGGTGCGCCACCTGCAGCTCAGCTGCCCGGCGCTCGACCTGACGCTCGACCTGGCCCGGCCGCTGCGCTTCGCCGTCAAGTCGTCTCCGCACCAGGTGTCGCTGAACAAGTCAGCCGGTGACCTGCTGGCCGGCACCGTGCAGCCGATGACGCTGCAGATCGTGTGCGGCAGCGAGCCGCTGCCGGGCCCCTCGGCGGTTCGCCTGCAGTGCTCGCGTGGCCTGTCGGTGCGCGCCGCTGACGGTGACCCGGCGGCGCCCTGGAGCGACGAGCTGCAGCTGCACGTGCCGCCGCTGGAGGCGTTCCAAAGCGCCCGGCTGCCCGTCTCGATGCTGTCGCAGCTGGCGCACGTCAAGGACGGCGTCAGCGTGGTACACAAGGTGAGTCACACTCGACCGGGGCGGCTGCTGATTGATAAGGGACTTGCTTATGTCGCTCCGGCAGCACTCTAACGTGAGTAACGGGAATCCGTGCATAATCCTGTATTGGGAAAATAAGTTGAGATAGATTCATTTTAGGGCAAGTTTTATAGCTTTTGCCATTTCCATGGTGTGCTTGTTTTATTATGGTATATATTTCTCTTTTAGAAAACATTGTGTAACTTATCAGTGTCTTGAGGTCAGCTAAGCTGTTGTGTGAAATGTGAATTTTTGACCATCCTTGATTTCAGGTGGACATTATCTGTCCGTGGAGCGCGGCGCCGGTCGAGGCCGAGCTGCACTTCCTCTTGCCGTTCTCTGCCGCCTTCAAGGTGCACACGTCCAACGTTAGGAAATTCCTACAGGTAACGTCTGCCGGCATCACCAGGTGTGGGACACGTGTTTTACCTGGACATCGGTGATGAATTTCGGATATTACGCCAAAGTTGTCATTACACCGTTATTGAAGCGTACAGTCACCGAATGCGCCCGAAAAATGGCAAAAATGTCGAAGGTCGAATGTCGTGTCGTGTCGAATGTCGGAGTATTATTAAATAAACACAAAGTCAGCTTTGCTATAAAGTCAGCTTATAGTGAGTGTTGCTACGGAATGCTTGAAGTGCTGACTTTCCTGGCCCGCGAATGCCGTTCTTTTGACTGACCGTACTTCTGTTGTCAATCCGTCTGTCTGACCGTCTGCCCGTTCGTCCTCCCGTCCGTCCATCCATAGACCACTATAGACCAGGTATATAGTGGTCTATGGTCCATCTGACTGTGTGACTGTCTATGTGAATCCTGTCCCCACCTTACTACTTACGTCCGCCCACCTAGCTGCCTTGACTGTCCGACGTGTATTTGTGTGTCTTGTCTGCCTCCATCCCGTCCCCTTTCCCCAGTCTGATTCCTTGTCGTCCGCCCGCCTGACTGTCTTGACTGTCCGTGCCGCGGCATGTGGCTCCCTGGTGACAATGTACGGTCTCTGTGTGTCTGACTGATAATCCGTGCCCGTGCAGGTGGTGATGCACGGACTAAACACGGCCGAGTTCGAGCTGACCCGGCCGGCGCTCACCGTCGTAAACGACGCGCCCGTAGAGCTGACGCCGCTCAACGAGACGGCCGAGACACTGGTGAGACATGAGTCAGGGCCGAGAAACATTGGTGAGACATCAGTTGGGGAAGAGGCAATGGTGAGACACAGGCGAGACATGAGTCTGGGGGGGGGGGGGGGGGCCGGGACATTGGTGGGACATGACCGACGGGCAGTGTGGTGAGACATGAGTCAGCTGGAGAAGGGGCACTGGTGAGGCAGGACTGACGGGAAGAGACACTGGTGAAGCATCACTGTCAGGGAGAGACATTGGCGAAACGGGACTGACTATCATAAAAAACATTGTGGGACGGGCATGTTACAGGCGATGGTTAGTCATGACCCCGACAAGTTACGTTGATGATTCATGTCCCACCAGGAGAGACACTTATGAAGCATGACTGAGAAAAAGGACAATAGCGATGCATGTCTTAGCGTTTGCTTGTCGGGGGTGTGTCGAATATCCAATGTCAAAGAGAATCAGCTATTACGTCATTGTAGACGTGATATTAGCCCAACCTTGCCCCCCAAAACAGCGTGAAATGAGACTATCGTTACTTTGGGAGATGATGCAATGCTGGTTCCCAATGACAGGTGGTGTCCAGTGTTCACCGAGACGATCGTGTCGTCCATGTGGGAGCCGATGTGACGCTGCTCCCCACGACAGGTGGTGTCCAGCGAGACGAGCGTCTCGTACATGTGTGAGATGGTGCTGTTGATCTGACCTCGACCCCACGACAGGTGGTGTCCAGCGAGACGAGCGTCTCGTACATGTGGGAGATGGTGCTGTCCAAGGAGACGCCGCCGGTCCGCAGTCAGTTCAGCGTCGAGTACCGCGCCGTTGACGCCGAGACCAGGCAGCGCTTCAAGTTCGACTTCACCGTCTCCGACTACCGGGTGAGGGCCGGGCTACTGAGACAAACATTGTAGACACTTTGCGGCGCTGAATTCTGGATCAGATTTGACGGTGTGACTGACATTGTTTGGCTCACTAAATATAGCGTTTTGTTCTGAGTTGATGTTTATATTGTTTTTATGTGAGCTGCTAACTTCATGTGGTCGCGTCATTTTTCGCACTTATGCCCGTACTATCTACCTTTCCCTTCGCAGTAAATTACAGTACATACGTGTTTATCTCCCTGGCACAGACTCTGCTGAGTGTGACGTGTCGGATGGAGCCGCTGAAGGGCGCCGAGTTCTGCCGCTCCGGCTCCATCTGCCAGCTGCACGTGACGGTGGCGCAGGAGGACGGCACCGCCGAGCTGCGAGCCGTCATGTACGAGGTGCTGGCCGACCAGAACATGTGGGCCATCTGCGGACGCAGCTCAGGTCAGTAGGTGATAGGGGTAACGGGGTAACGTGTGGGCCGTCTGCGGACGCAGCTCAGGTCAGTGGGTAACGGGGTAACGGGGTAACATGCGGGCCGTCTGCGGACGGAGCTCAGGTCAGTGGGTAACGGGGTAACATGTGGGCCGTCTGCGGACGCAGCTCAGGTCAGTGGGTAACGGGGTAACATGTGGGCCGTCTGCGGACGCAGCTCAGGTCAGTCAGGATGGGGTAACGGGGTAACAGGTGGGCCATCTGCGGACGCAGCTCAGGTCAGTCAGGATGGGGTAACGGGGTAACAAGTGGGCCGTCTGCGGACGGAGCTCAGGTCAGTGGATGGTGGGGTAACGGGGGTAATGAGAGGGGAACCGTCTGAGCCAGCCGCTAGCAGAGTGTATAATATAGAGGGGTAACTGGGGTAACGGAGAGGGAAATGTGTTTCTCTTTCTCTTCAGAGGCAGAAACATATATTAGTGGTGATGATAATGGTAGGTAGACTAGGTACCATGTCATTAGCACTGGAAAGTTTCTTGCAGGTTGCTAAAGTGCTTTACTTTCTTGGCATTTTGCGCTGATAACTTTATGACGTATGTTCTGGTGAGTTGGTGTCCGACTTTCCGGCGTGCCCTGTGTACTCACCGGCGCGTTGCGGTGCGCCCTGTATCGGCAGGAGTGCTGGACATGGGTCCGGACACGCGTCACGTGCTGCAGCTGGAGGTGATGCCTCTGACGGGCGGATTCCTGCCGCTGCCCACCGTCCGACTCAGCCGCTACATCCCGGCCAACAAAGGTAGGGGACTAATGGGCATGGACCAGTCACTGTCCGACTCAGTCGTTACATCCCCGCCAACAAGGGTAAGGGACTAAGGGGCAAGGACCAGTCACTGTCCGACTCAGCCGCTACATCCCGGCCAACAAAGGTAAGGGAAGGGGCAAGGACCACTCACTGTCCGACTCAGTCGCTACATCCCGGCCAACAAAGGTAAGGGACTAAGGGGCAAGGACCAGTCACTGTCCGACTCAGTCGCTACATCCCCGCCAACAAAGGTAAGGAACTAAGGGGCATGGACCAGTCACTGTCCGACCCAGTCGCTACATCCCCGCCAACAATTAAGGTAAGGGACTAAGGGGCATCATGGACCAGTCACTGTCCGACTCAGTCGCTACATCCCGGCCAACAAGGGTAAGGGACTAAGGGGCATCATGGACCAGTCACTGTCCGACTCAGCCGCTACATCCCGGCCAACAAGGGTAAGGCGCGTGATATGGACTGCCCATGGTCCTGCATCCCGATCAACAGGGGTAAAGGGCGTGATATAGACCACCCACGGTCGACTTGCATCCCGAACAACATGAGTGAGGCCTACGCCAGGCGCAATATGGGACTCGAGGTGCTCGATTACTGCTCGAGGACCTCGCTGACCCATCCCCTCTCCCTCCCTCAGAATGTGTGGAGGACCGTGCGCCCACACTCTCCCTTCCTCCTCAATTTGTCGAGGGCCGATCACCCCTCCCTCCCTCCCCATGCAGAGTGGGGAGGGAGGGCCGTGCGCTGACCACGTTCGCCCTCCCCCCTCAGAGAGCACCGAGGGCCGCGCGCTGGTCACGGGCTCCAGCCTGCCGCGCCTGGAGCCGTTCGCCGCCGGCCAGGTGTACAGCGCCTCGCGGGGTCAGCAGGTGCACGTGCTGGCCACCAGCGCGCCCGGACTGGCCGACCGATCCGCCGACGTGTCGCTCTCGTAAGGCGATACCCCACTGCCGACCACGCGACCGACAGGCCGGGCTCGGCTGGTGTGAGTGGACCCGCGCCGGTGGAGGGTAAGACTGGATCAACGAGGCTCCGGTGACGATAATTACAGTGGGCTTCCACGCCGTAACTTGTGCGAGGAACGTCCTGAGTAAATACTTTGAGAGAATCTATCATCAAATATGTATATTTTCTGTTATAGGCGGAATGGCTATATTCTGAGTATGGCTGTATTATGGTGAGATACTCGTACTGTGCTGTATGCTCTATTTCCGTACAAATGCCTTTGACTGCTGTTGTGTTGATTTTATTAGCTAAAAGCTATTGCTATATTTATTTCTTGCTGCTCGCCGGGAGCGTGCGGACGTATGATGTGTCTCGTTATTATCTGTCTGGTCCACATAATGAATGTGTGAGCGATCTGCGGAGAATAAGACAGCTCTACTAGATGGGACTTCTGAGCTACACGGTTGTTTCCAGACTAGTTGTTACGGTGCTTGCCGATCTATAATATATCCTTGTTATGTTTCTGTACCGCATCCCCTTATGTTTCCGGTGGACTGGACAAGGCCTCATGTATGGGTCGTCCATGAGTTCCGCCAATGACAGTCTGGCCTTATATGTCGGGATGGTGGGACGGGACAGCGCCGGCCACCGAAGCCATCCCTCCGGCACTCTAGGTGATCGGATGGACCTTGGGACTGTGCGGAAAACAAGCGAGCATGTACAGGAATAGTTATTACTATTTTTATAATGTTACCATGTTGGTGGAAGCACATTTATCATGACAAAATAAACGAATGTCTGTCCGCCGTCCGGATCTTTGGACTTGAGGCTTTGATTTGTGTCGGAGATCTACTTTTCTTTTCACCGTTGCTTTGTTCTTTTGTGACATTTGGCCCCGCTGGTGTAAAACACGCAAATATGTGTGTGGATTTTTTCAATTATATCAATTTATTGTGAATGGTAAACTCGTGGGCTTCTGATCGTGACGTAGGTGGGATGTCTCAATCAATATGTACTGGTTGGGAAGTTTCCCTGTTCTTGACGAACATCATAGGCGGCGGAACGGGGAGGGCACCGGGGCACCGTGCCCCCTTTGATTTTTGGAATTTTAACATTAGCCCTATGGGCGTTGCATGGAAAGAATGGGACCAAAAGTCGGCGGTGCCCCCCCCCCCCTTAATTGAAGGTGTTCCGCCGCTACTGAAGAACATCCTACTGCTTGGCGGGTTTGACGTCCAATCGCATGGCAAAACCATGGATTAATGCCTACCGATGTGAATTATAGATAACCGTCACTCTTTAGATGGTCTTGACGTGGTCTTGACCACGATTTTTGGCGCCGTAAGGCCCGTAAGGAGCGTAAAGAACATGGACGCGTGTTCCCGACAAACAAATTAGCAGTGGTTTCTTAGAGCAAATCTTTGAGACGAGGAAGGCGCGCTAGAGACAATACTGGCTATATGGTTTTCGCTGGTAACTTTATTTTTTTCATCTTGATCTGTTGGTGGGTGTTATAGATGTTTTATGAGTAATTTATGCGTGAATTTAATCAGGTAGAGTGGATTACAAATGTTTATTTTCATTTATTCAGGAAAACTCTTGAAGCATGTCACTTTAACTCCTCAGAAAGTGCTATGCTGAATCACTAGGTATTCCTGCTGAATTTTACTTCCGAAGGGGCCTTCTCGAGATCAAGTCATTCATGATAATTAGTGCCTACTTCGTCAATAGGAGCATGACTGCATAAAAATTGACTATTCTTCCTAATTTGACTAATTCATAAGCTTCTGTAAATAATATAGGCTCATTTTTTTTAGTTCCGTGCTGGATCTTGCAGGTGGAAGTGCATTGGCTTCTTGGTTACATAACATTTGCAACGTTTATGTTTTCTGTCATGTCAATATATTTGTAGTTGAAAGTCAAGCATTTTGTGAAATATCTGCAAATTATAGGGTGTATTTTAGTTTTCACTATCCAATATTCATGCAACATCAAAAATGTTATTTCTGTACCCTGAAGTCTATATCTACCTATGTTGTCTATTTCTACCATTCAAATAACTGATTGCCACTCACTGAATTGATTTGATTCATTTGGAGGTAACGCAGGCAGGCATGTCTAACATCCTGAGGAGTGTTTTTAGGCACTTTGTTCATGTTGAGTTCTATATCTATTAGGAGGTATAAACTCAGTAGTCAGTAGTATGACCATAACATCAATTGAGTGCATTGTTGTACTTTGACAATTACAGTTAAAATATAGCAAAATAAGTAGCAATACTTGACTGGTGAGTGGTGAGTGGTGACCCACTCCATTCCATTTTTATTATTGCCAACCAAGCCTATTATGTAATGTTTTAGTCCTTCAGATTTTAGAGATAGCCAATTATAGCTGTAAGTGATGATGCACAGTGTATGAAGAAGTAGGAACACAGGGGCACTGAAGTCAAATGTGTCTGTTTTTTGTGTGTGAAAAATTGTTGTGTTTCATTTCAGGACCTCCAAAACCCAGCAGCAGAAGCAAAACCTGTAGCAGAGCTTCTGTAGTATAACCATGGCCTTGTCAGGTGAGCAGCATTTTTTTTAAATTCTTTTAAAAGAATATGAAAGAAATACTTGCAATGTTGTTTTTGCTTTGATTCAAGGTGATTTTCGACGTTTTTATTAGTTTTAATAGAAAGATATGGATTGTTGACATAATTGCAGCCTACTGTATCCATTTTCAACTTCTCAGCCATTTCATTTTGCCACCAGCTTTGCTGATCATGTCACCTTTCACTTTTCCCCTCCCCATGTGACAAGCTGCCTTCCAAAACATACATGTATGCTTAGTTGTCCCATTGGTCTGTTTTCTTGATTCATTAGGTTAATCAACTCATGGAACCATTTCATTTCACATTGTTGTCTTTATTTGAGTACATATTACATAATTCTGCAGATAGTTGCCTAGGTTGGGTTGGGCTAAGATGTAATCCAGCTGCTTAAAATCATTCAGAGAATACAGACATTTTCTGAATTCCAGTGAAACAGCAATAAAGGCACCACATAAAGGGAACAGTCAAGTTGAAGAGTATGCCATCAGTGCTCAACCGCCAGTGCTGTCCTGGCACCACCATGTCAGAATTCAGTCCTTCGGTGACATTGGCTCGCACCTCCGAGGCCCAATATTTACGGTAGCGCGGCGGTGGTGACGCTGACGCTACCGGCGGCGGCGGCGTCCCGACCGCCGCCGCCGGCCTCGCTGAACTGCACCATGATGATGACGTAGGTCAGGATGGTGGAGGAGGCGCTGACGATGGTGGAGCGCCGCAGTCGGAACAGGCCCAGGTCGCCGAGCGTGTCCAGGTCCTGGGCGGCCGCCTCCCGCAGCAGGGCCGCCTGACTGGCCAGCTCGGGACGGCGGCCCTCCAGCTGCAGCAGCAGCCGGCGGCTGTCGGCCGACAGCTGCAGCGCCCGCTGGCCCGCCTCGCACGGACCGGACAGCGTCAGACCGGTGGACATCAGGTACACAGCGAAACCGGCCACGTCCTGCGCGGTGAAGGCGGACCGCAGCGTTTCCAGCACGCTCATGAAGAGGGTGACCTGCAGCAGCATCCCGTTGGCCATGGCCAGCACCAGCTCTGCGGCACTATCTCCGGTCAGTCGGACGAACGAGTCGGTCAGCCGGGCGCGCAGCCGCGCCAGCCGCTGCAGCTGCCAGGCGCCGGCCGGCCGCTCGCCGTTCACCATCGCCCTCAGCTCGGCGTTCACGGTCTCCAGGCCGTCCGAGATGAGCAGGCCGACCAGCAGGAACTTCACCGGAACCAGCTGGAAGGAGACCACCAGGCCGACGTAGCCGACCCGCCGCGTCCACGCCAGGAGGCACTTGGACCAGTGCTGCGAGCGGCAGATCTCTGGAGAGATGAAGCCCTCGGTGGTCCAGCCGATACCGACTGTCAGCGCCAGCATCACGGCCAGCAGGGCGGCGGCGATGCGGGCGGTGCGGCGGCGCGGCGCGGCCCAGCCCGGCAGGTCGGAGAGCTGGTCCAGGCAGGCGCGCACCCTGTCCAGCTCGGCGGAGAAGTGCCGCCGGCCGCGGAGCAGGACGGCGCTCAGGGTCAGCCACCGCAGTACGAACGCCACCCCGAAGAAGGCGGTGTCGGCCACGACGCGCACGGCCGGCACTCCGGCGGCCAGCTTCTGCAGGCCGTAGCGCAGTGACCAGGCGGTGGTCTGGTAGGCGGCTGCCGTCTGCAGCGCGTGCAGCAGACAGGCGTACAGGAGGCGGCGCCAGCCGGGCGGGCCGGCCGCGCCCGTCAGCTCCAGCAGGCGCAGCAGAGCGCCGACCGACCGGGGCAGCGGGCCGGCCGGCGCCGGCTCGACCGCTGGCTTCTCTCCGTCCGGCAGAGTGCCTGGGGTGTCTCCGTCCGGCAGAGTGCCTGGGGTGTTGGCGTTTACAGGGGAACTCGGATGACCCGTCCACGACATATCCGTCGTCAGCGGCAGCGGCAGGTGCAAGCGCAGAGGTGAGGGGACGTCGGAGACCGTCCCCGGCTGCACTGTCCGCCACAGAGTGGACAGCCACGGCCGATGAGTGACTATTCTATACGGACACCCCCGCGGTGGCCGTATTCGCCCTCACTGATGGCGCTGCCGCGGGCCGTCGCTGGGGCTGACCTCTCCTCGGTCGGCTCGCCTTCAATAGACGCGACAAGCCCGGTGTTTGCCTCCCGTTCAGCCGTGTGTTCTGTTTGACCTGCACCGTCAACGAGTGGCGACCTGTGTGTGCCCACCTGCGCGTGCCCTGTTGACCCAGCGCACTGGGCCGCGACGGCAGCGACCAGCGACGATGGTGACTTGTTTGTTCAGCGTTCGGGCAGCGATCGTTAATGTAGGGCACCAGTGTGGACCGGCAATGTGCTCCAGTCGTTAGAGATATTGCCGAAAGCGACGACTTATTTGAGCGGACCACGCCCGATGGATACACTACATACATATACCTATTATAGTCTCAGGTTGGCAGTTTTTAGGCTCGACAAATCTAGGTGGCTGTACGCGCTTTAATATGTGTAATGGACGCATTAGGTAGTTCAGTTTTAGGGACAGTATGTATGTCTGCGGATATTCAACATATCCATCCAATGGATCCAGTACCTCAATTTCCGTTTTACGGCTACGGTCCTGACTCTTTTTCAACATTCATATGATTGGTACTCATATTTCGAAAAGTTACAAGACAGCTACCGTCAACAGTTACCGCCTTTATCACCACTGCAGTTTTTACCGGACCGGATTTTGTTTTTGTCCGTCAGTCCGCCCTGGTTTCTGAGTTATGACTCATCCCGTGTGTGCTCCCACTGTTTTGTATTATCCGCCTGCTGCCCATGCTGACAGCTGTACCTACCCTGTTCCGTGTCGACAGTTGTCTAGCCCGTCTGCTGCCTGTGTCGGCAGTTCTGTCTGACTCGTCTTTCGTCTGTGTTGACAGCTGCTCTATCTGAACCGTCCTCCGCCCGTGCTGACAGTTCCGTCTGACCCGTGTCCTTTCCGACTGTTCTGTCCTACCGCTCATTGTCTGTGCCTACAGTACTGTCTAAGCCGCCTGTTTCCGTGTCGATAGCACTGTCTAACCCGCCTGTTGCCTATGCCCACAGTTCTGCGCGGCCTGGCGGTGTCCCGGGCGGCCCCTGCCATCGCCCGGCCCCTGGCGGCAGTTAGCTCTCCCTCCATCCAGCCGACGGCCCTACAGCAGCGGAGAGAGGCCACCTCAGAAGCCGGTCAGTAGCCGACGGACGGACGGGCGAGGCGCGCAGGGATACGGGAGGCTCGAATGCGGGATGCG